AAATTATTTTGCCTTTTCAAAGACACAATTTGTAATCATTTATGTTATCACATTCTCAAAGAAAAAATTCTAAATTGAAAAATAGTTTTTCTTTTCCTCAACTTCTCTCAGGTAAAAACGGTCCCAACAACGGTACGAATCCAAAAACTTTAAATGAAGAAATCATCAATAATTTTGTTTGATTTTTTCCACGTTTTGAACTCTCAAGGAGCTCTTCATCAGTTCATTATTTATTCTGCACAAATCAAATTAAAACAAACTAGTCATATTGTTATTAAATCTATTTTATAGTGTAGTTGTTGGAGGTTATATTTCCATGAATTTTCAACAAAATATAAATAAATAATAGAAAATAAAAATGAACAAAATAAGAATACCTAAACGTCCATAAGATGTAAAGGACCAGCAGAGCGTTCTGTCAATAAAAATATTCCAATAATGTCTAAATTTTAATTATCGCTCCCATAACCTAGAGACAAAAAAAAAACAGTAAAAACTTGGAAAAATTTTTTTGTTAACATCATCCGTACGTTTTGAGCCCATAATTACTATTGAACCATTCGTGTAACTCCCTATAAAGTGTGAAAATCTAAGTGAAATAAAAAACCGGTGCTGAAACTAAAATGAAACAAGTCCAGAATAAGCTCCCAGTGGCGAAAATAATCGATAAAATGACGATGTAGGACTTTTTAGAAAAAAAAGATTTTTGGATGAATTCTTCCATAACAGGATGTATTGAATCAATCGACACAAAATTTTATACATAAGTGTGACTAAAAAATACTAATTAGTAGCCAGAATCTCAGATGTTTATTCCAAGTTTTATGCGTATTATGGAACGCCACATCAACTCTCAATTGAAAAAAGTAGAAAAATGCGAATATTTCGCATTGTATTGACAAGTATTCACATTTTAATTGATCTTCATAGGGGGCAGCAAGGCGAGTATTTTAAAGAAAAAGTAAAATTAATTGGTCTAGTAGCTTGGGAGATATTGAACAAAACAGTTTTTTATAAAAAGTTGAATATCTTCTAAACCACTCGTCCAATTTCACCTACGTACAATCGTATTCTGCAATATCATAAGAATTAATCTCACTAAATTTCAACATTCTATCTAAAATTTTTCGAGAATTACTGTGCTTAGAACGATTTTCTCATAAAAACGAAAAATGCCGATTATTACCGAACTGTCCCTAATTACATAGTACTATTGTGATTTTATTTGATAGATATTATCACAAGGAATATTTTGACCTCAAAAAAATTCAATTCAGTTACGTAGTTTTCGAGATGCAGAGGGAAAAAAAATTTTGAGAAATTGCTGTATCTCGGAAACTATACATATACTTGACCGATTGGGCAGAAATTGTGCCCAGAAGAGCTCCAAAGTAATACCAATTATGTAGCGAAATTTCTGATTTTTAGCTTCAACCTTAGTCCCTTTTCTGTGAAGATTTATAAAAATTTTCCGAAAAATTCGCACAACATCCGGACATACATACACACATTTTCTAAAAACATCATATCTTCACGTTTCATGGCATTTACGTCATTTTCAGGCAAATCTAAAAGATTGTCAAAATCAACGATTACAAAGCTTCCATTCTAAAGCAAAAACAACATTTACTGCTGCTGTCGTTGCGGAGTTTTTATCTCTCAATTATAAGCTCGTAAATATTAAAGTACCATTTTCAATAAGGTTAATTACTATACAAGAATTACTACATGAGAAAATATTCGCACAGCAGGCGGAGGTGAGTGTTTGCGAAGTGTTAATCTGAAAAATTTTGTAATATTACATCTTAAGGAGGTAAAATGAATCGTAAAGGGGTTTTTTCTCATAGTCGTAGCAAGTCTGCTTTTGGCGACAGTTTAGAGTATAATTTTCGTTCAACCGCTCCTACAGCACTCGACATCTTGTGTTGAATCGAAAACTCAAAGTTTCTGGGCGCTCCAGACGGGTGTAGAACTTATACGTCCTTTAACTCGATATAGTTACATGAAACATTTTTCAATATTGCAGACACAGTTGTTGGAAAAATTGAGAGAGTGAGATTTAAAAAGTGGAGACTATTCCTTTCAATGTGTATGACTCTTGTGTTTTCACTCTTATTCTTTTGTTGAAGATGACAAATTTAATGAAGACATGTCGTGCGGAGCTTTGAGGGATGAAAGGAAGGGAAGCATGGATGATACTTGAAACTTCCAACAGGCGAGAGATAATGAAAAAAATATCACATCCATGAGCATGAAGAATTCTTGACGAACGGATAGAATAGTTTTTTTGGCATCAAGGAAAATGTATCCGAATTTACAACATTGATTTCGATTAAAGCACTTTTCTTCCTGTTGAAGAACATTATGACATGAAAAGTTGCAATGGGGCCAGGGAAAAGACGGGAAAATTTCACCCGAAATGTAAAAAAAGCAATCGATTTAGCTCGATAGTTCCTACATATCAGACAAATTAACTTAATCGAATCGAAAGTTTTTGGCCTGAATCTGAAAAACTACCAGTGTGCAAATTGTGAGTGGCTGCTCACTCCCTCATTGAGTGACACCATGATTTCGAAATGAATTCAACTTCACGTGATTTCAGGGTTGATTCAAGTGATTTCAATATTGATTTTAGTAATTTCGGGAAGAAATGAAATCAATGATTTCAAGTGGATCACATGATTTCGTGACTGCAATTGCCTTTGAAAGATTACATAGATTCGAAATCAGGGATTTCAGAGCCAATGAAGTAATTGAAATCACGATGAATAAAGTTCGCTGAACGAGAGGGAGCGGGGCAGAATAGGCCGTTTTAAGTTTTCAACATATACTTATCACAATACGATTTAGTGGAACTTGTTCTTATTTCAAAGCTTGTTCAGTAACCTTTGACAGTTTGGTTGTAAGAAAATGAAAAACGGCCCATTCTACCTCTTTCCCCTAATAATGCCCAATTCAAAATTAATTTTCAAACGTTATATTACAAGGAAGATATAGAGAATATTCCACAGATTAATTATTTAATGTATCAACAGTATTCGTTAGCAATATTTTTTAACCTTATTAAAAATGCTCTCATGGAGCTTCAAGTCACCACTCTTAGTAATCAGCGGAAAAGAAATTGTCCTTCGATATTGTTTTATATCAATAGTAGGCGTGAACAGTCATTGGCTCTGATTATAAACAATTAAAACTCTTATGCAAATTATACCAACGACAGAGAGCACTGATATTTTTTTATTATCACTGACACGAGTGTACTGGCTCGACAATTCTCGACTTCGCTGAGTATCACCTCGGCATACTCGAAATTAAGTACAAATCCTAGTAAACAAGTAGGATATTTTTCCTGTTCAAACAAACATCAATCACTGATATTAATTTCGTCGCATTTTCTTACAAAAGGTAAATGTTAAGAAAGAGGGCCCCACCACCGATCCGATGGTTCAGTTTTCAGAAAGATCGGTGATGGGGCCCTCTTTCTTAACATTTACCCTTACAAAATATTCATTGATTTCAAATGATTTGGGCATGATTTGATGACTTCAGCACGATTTAATAAATGATTTCAAAGAGTTGAAATCACATGATTTCAGTGATTTCATCACAAACTGGCGCCATGATTTCGCGAGTGAGTAACCCCTCATCAAAATGAATCGCTTTGCTTAATTTAAGCTGAAATTTCTCACATTTCACAGGACATTTGTGCACAGGAGTTTCTGCATGTTATAAGTGTTCTTTATTCGCAGAACAATGTGCTATCAATTTATAGAACATTTCTGTTAATGTAAGAAGATGTTTCTCTGTGTTCTCAATTGAACCCCTCATGTATGGGGTCGATACATACCATCGATCCGTGGAAATGTAAATGACTCTTTTCAAAATCGATTATATCGGAAACAACGGGAAATAACTCAACCAGATGAATGAGATCGAAAACAGAAATACTCTGGCTTCAATTACGTCGGTTTCATAATTTTTGATTGATTAGAAGTGATCAGATTGCAGACTCGTCAAGCGTATACAAAGGGTCGAGTTCACGAGGCGTGGAGAATAATTTTCCCTCTGTGAGCACACGGTAACTGGAAAACTACATATTAAATTAAAAATAGAGCAATTAGACGAATTGATTCTATCAAGTAGGAAGTTTTTCGTCTCTATCTTTAGATCTTGTGGGAGAAAATGAATCTCTCTTAAAATTTTTAAGGTGAAATTCTTCTGCTTATTGTAACGTTTTCAAACAGAACACTTTTTTTTTAGTTGAGAAAGAAAACTTTGAAAACTGGAAAAAAAATTTACAACATTTTACTGCATCGCGATTCATCATTCAGAAGGAGTTCAATTTCCCTCAGCATATTCGCAAATTGCATGACTCCTTGGAATCACGGAATCATGAATGATTCATATACTTTCAATTAGAGTGCCCATGTCCCCACAATTAGTTTCACTATATTCGAACTAAATTTATGAATTTCATGAGTAAGTTGTTTAATTCTACTTGAATTGTTTTACCGTAGATATACCCGGTGTTGAACCTTAATCATCAATTGTTGGGAAACTTGAATATGAATATAAAATACCGCGGATATTTATGGGGTTGGAAAGTTTGTTTCGTTGACTCTAGCCATACATTTGTCATTTTTAGTTTCAGTGGTGAATTAAGGAGCATTAAAGTGAGGTAGAGTGGCTAATTACTCAGCGTTTCTAATGTGCTTACATAGGAATTGTTTATATTACACGTTTGAGATTTCAGATGCATGAATTTAAAAATTCTCGAGATAATTTGTTAATTACCTCAATAATAGACGACCATACACCATTCCATTAATTATTCCATTATTTACATAATGAGTGATCATAAAATTTTTCATAAAGAACATTTTCTAATATTTCCATTGGATTCGCTTGCGAAATATCTGAAAAATGATCCTAAATCCTCAGTCTCATCTCCTTCCTAATGAATCCGGATTTTTCCAAACAATAAGAGATCAGTTACTTACACCGGCCGATATCGAGTGTCACTCAGTCGCTGCCTCGTCAACATCGACGATGATGTTACTTCCTCAAATATTTACGTTCAAAGCGAACAGTAACCGGAGTAACACATCCACATTAGCTCTCCTCCTTATTATCCTTCAATTCACCATTTTAATTAATAATAAATAAACCAAACACATGGTCCCACAGTCACTCAATGTAGTTTTCTCTCAGCTTTTAAATGAATAACTCGAATTATTTTGATTCACTCCTCGATTAAAATTCTTGGACTCTTTATCTCATGAAAAATGTGATGAAGGAGAAAGAAGAAGAAAAAAAATAGATGGAGAGTAGAGAAAGAACACGCACCGAGTGCGTAAGTTACCGTAGACTGGAGGGCACACCGATCTGCACTGATTCGTCAGTTGTTACGGTGGCGAGAGACGACGATAGACTATAGTCTCGGGGTCTCGGCTGCGCAGTCGGCACACCAACACTTCCTTCCTCTCTCTCCCTCACTATTTCTCGCTTTCTCTCCGTTGCTAGCACCCCCACCCCCCAATTTTTAACCCTGCGTTACCTCAACGGACCGCCGTTCGCATACCATCCACCTCGACTTTCAAAATTTCCTCTCTCTCTTTCTCTCGCCCCTTGAAACTCTGGGCACTCTGAGGGTCGGCCAGCGCCCCGCTGCTACCCGTGAATTAGCGAGAGGGACTCGATCACTAAAAACGTGAACAACGTCATTCTGGTCACAATACAATGGTCTGTATGAAGGGACCTTTGGCAAGTCAGAGATTGATCGTTTGTGAAGAGGAATTGAGAGACAACATAATACATATCATAGTGTTTTCATGTATTATTCAACGTTAGAGGGGGTCGGTTGTATTTTTTCAAAGGCAACTGGAATTACCGATGGGGGAGACCACAACCACGGTTTCTATTCTGGGATTTTGGTGGGGATCGGAGAAATGAATAGGCTTAGAGAACAATTCTAGAACATTGATGATTAAATCAATTCCTCTTCATGTCAGTTTATGAGTGGTCAAATTTCACAGGATAGGCGTACTTTAAATTTTACTCCAATCATTCGGGAAAATCATAATAAGTTTACCCATTGTTACCATTTTGGCATGTGCTTCCGCTGTCATTTTGGTTTGTATCTGTTAAGGATTTCACTTTGTTGACAAGTGACGTTACTGACTGTCAACTCTTCACTGATATCCCAACCTTCTTCATATTTATATCTGTCACAGATATAATTACATGTACGCCATAGGGGAGGGTGGGGCAAAATGGAACGGTACAAAAAACGNCGAATATAGAGCAAAATTCAGACAACTTTTTTTTTCACATTATGTGAGCTCAAAAATGATGATTCGGGCTTAAGTCAGTGACATCAGTCTACTCTGTAGTTATCGCTATCTTGTAATCTAAGGGAGATAGGAGAATTTTGATAAGGACCTTTTTGTAGAGAATTTCAAGGGCTATAAAAAAGGTCATTATAAAAATTTTTTTTATCTTCATTGTAAAAAAGATGATTCAAGGTTAAAAAACTGAAGAAAAATCTGATATGTCTGTAAATTCAATTATAGAGTAATAGACGATTATAGGCAAATAAATAAGACCTTTGGAATATTATTATTGTTCTATGAATAAATTGAATATTAAAAAAAGGTCCTATAGTTTTTGAAAACCAAAATTCACTACCGTTCCATTTTGCCCCACTTTCCCCTTTTCTTGAAAATTAATAGAAATCTGGAAAATTAAGGTAAATGAATTTTTGAATTTTCAATTGATTGAAAATTGAAGAATACATTATATGATTTAGTTTACTAAAGTTTACTAATGTTTTGTTTAAAAATTCAGATGAGTTGAGGCATTCTCATCCTTCTGCTCTTCAAAAATTTCGAATTCCAATGAATTTTCATTATTTTTCCCCTGTATCGAAATCAGTCACTGTTTTGAAAATATTTAGACAACTGCTCATGAAATTTCAGTTTTCTTTTAACTATTTAGCCTACTAAAGGAGAGGAAAATGTCACATTTTGTCTTAAATCATTCGTTCCGGTGTCATACACTGAGAGAAAAATCGTCATAATATCACAAAACTAATTTCTTGTGCCAAATATTTCATCTCTTGAGGAGAAATTTCTTGGGATAAGAATTTTTTGTACCGATCCATTTTGACCCGCGTTACATTTTGCCCCGCGTTCCATTTTGCCCCTCCGTTCCATTTTGCCGCAGTTCCATTTTGCCCACCCTCCCCTACTTGAACACCGCCACAATTTTTTCTTGGCAGAATACCTAAGAACACACGATGAATGACACTTGATGTCTAGCACCCCGCATAGAAAAAAATATAAGCGAAAACTTATAAGTGAGATATAGTGATTTTAGCGGAATTATATCTTGAATATATCCGCCTTGTATACCAGGTAAATGCTAAATATATCTGGTGGCATATATGTACATATATATATCCAACATATATCTCGGGACCGGTACTTTTCGTCCAATTTTCATTGGTCCAATATCTTTTGGTCTAATGCGATTTCGTCCAATAATACTATTCGTCCAATTTTTTTTCGTCCATGTTTCATTTGGTCCAATTTTGTTTTGGTCTAATAATTTTGTTCGTCCAATTCCGGGGAAAAATGAAAAAAACATGGAATGCGTGCACAAAATTTAATCAATATATCAACTCAGGCTTTACTGTTGTGGAACGATCAATGGAAGTACAAGACATTAACAATTAACATGAAGAAAACTCGACGTCTGTGAACACACAATTAAATTTAGACATGACCTCACTGATAGTAGAATATATTAATAATTAACATGAAAACTGCTNGATTGATTTTTTATCACCATACGATTCTGTGTGGATGGATTACCGAGCTCCTATCGTATTCTATTCCTGCAACGAGGTAAGGAATTTTCACGTTGATTATATAGAGAATGATCTTTATTCTCGNTCCAATAATACTATTCGTCCAATTTTTTTTCGTCCATGTTTCATTTGGTCCAATTTTGTTTTGGTCTAATAATTTTGTTCGTCCAATTCCGGGGAAAAATGAAAAAAACATGGAATGCGTGCACAAAATTTAATCAATATATCAACTCAGGCTTTACTGTTGTGGAACGATCAATGGAAGTACAAGACATTAACAATTAACATGAAGAAAACTCGACGTCTGTGAACACACAATTAAATTTAGACATGACCTCACTGATAGTAGAATATATTAATAATTAACATGAAAACTGCTCTCATGAGAAAAGTACGGAACAACAATTGAGGAAATCCATGTAGATAATTTATGAAAATTGTGATAGTGGTAATTAAAATATCATTATCGAATCATTTGTATTTGTTGTTCATAATTTTATGTTGTGAGAATGTTGTGTGTTGTGATATTTTCGTATATGGGACATTCCATGTCAACTCAGCCACACCGGATTTTTTTTGTCTGGGAAAAATCATTCAGTAGGTGCATTTTGAACTACTACATATAGACAGTGATCATGCAAAAGTTCATTGCCCTGCCACTTTTTGTTTCTGAGATAATCATTATGAAACTTGAAATTTTCAAAAAATCATTACTTCTGAATGGAGCATCCGATTTTGATAAATAAAAGAAAATTTTCGTTTTTTCTCGTACTTCAAGATAAAAAATACTTCAAAGCCGTCAAGAAGCTCTTAGACCGGTTTTTCGAGAATTTTTCGCGTTTTCATCTTTTGTCACTCTAGGGCCGCTCGATATTCGATCGAAATATTTTTTTTATGATAGAGGATGTCCTTATATGATATGAAAAAAATACGCCATAATGAAAGAGCGAAGCAATGCACCGAAATTTTTTTTTTCGAAATTTTTGGGTTTTTCAGTTTTTAGGGGAGTTTCATCGGTTTTTTTAAAAGAAATGAGTCTGTCAACTATGATTCTTCGTTCATATATGATGACATAAGACTACACCATCATGTAACGGAGAAAGAGTGCACCGAAAAACAAATTTTTCGTCGAAATTTTTACTGGAAGGGTAGATAGTTGAATTGAACATTATCATCATCGGAAGTTTGCTAAATTATGATCAAACAAATGAGATGAAGAAACAAACGGAATCAATTAATTGATTTATCATTATCAGTCGGTTCCAAGGCTTTAATTCTAGAAAAAAACCTCAATTTCTTGATTGATTTTTTATCACCATACGATTCTGTGTGGATGGATTACCGAGCTCCTATCGTATTCTATTCCTGCAACGAGGTAAGGAATTTTCACGTTGATTATATAGAGAATGATCTTTATTCTCGGAATTGATATCTTCGGATTTCATAGAATGCCGCGGAGTGATAGATGTGCAAATCCAATGCGGGCTTTTGGTGAGAAGGGACACCTCGGTTATAATTTACGTCCGATTTCCTTGACACTACATGAGAAATTTCCTTTTTTACCATTGTCTGC